AATTTGTTTGTCTGATCATAGAAAGTGAATGCAACCAAATGCGAGTCGACCTTGATTTGCCTGTCTGATCGTAGTAAGTGGACATGGCCGCTATGTGCAGGGGAAGGATAGGCATCAACGTACAACACATATAATACTGGATCCCATGTGATTGAGTATGGGAGCAAAGCATTGAAGCTGGAATTCTCTATCTCTACTAAGTTTAGGATTCCGCCATCAAGAACCTCCTCACCTCTAAATTTTCTTCCAAACTGAGACACGCATGGATGTTATTAACCAGAGGGAATTGTCTTCTGGTTACAGGTCAATGAATTAGGTTGAGGTGATTGCTTGAATTTGTTTCTCAAAAACGTTTTTGTCTTTTGGAAACAGAAACTACTCACTTATAGGAGGTTTTTAGAAGACAGGTTCCTCCGAAGATTGTTGTTTTCTGAATTCTTAGGAACTATTTTAACTGGGAAATTAATTAAAACAATTTGCAAACAACAGAGTTTTCAGCAAATTTTTTTTTGTCGTGTTTTTGTTTTCAGAATCATTAGGAGCTATCTTAACTCGAGAATAATATGTTCAGCATTATTAGAGCTACACAATTTTTCTTAACCTTCTGTTGCAGGTTATTTTCATACTCTTACATATGTTTATAGAATCTCATGCTGTTTATAGAACTCTACTTTCTTCAACCCCCCACACACCCCCCCCCCCCGGTTCTCATTTTTTTCTTGTTCTTGGGAAGAGGGTTGGAGATGGGTCTGTAAACCAGGAAAATATCTACAAGGAATGTTTCAATAGCCATGATTTTATTCTTCTTTGAAGAAGCTTGCTTTTAGAAAAAATCTCGTCTGGAATAGATTACGATGTACTGCAGTACAAGTCATCTAACCAGAAAAAAGAACGAAAAAATACTCAAGCAGATTACAGAAGAGACACCGAATTCACTCGGCTGGTAGCATTCATATGATTGGAGTGCTTCTGTCTGGGTCCGATAAGACTCGTTTCGTCCTCAGCTCATCAAACCTGGTTTGGCCATTGTTGATGTGACTGGACATGTCTTAAATCAATGGCATTTTTTCATTGGTCTTTTTTTTTCGGGGTTTTCTTCCATTATATTCATCTTTCTCCCCTCTGATTTTAGGGGATTATTAGCCGTGTCAACCTCCTACCACTAGGGTTGTACCCAAAAACAAAACCCAAACTGAGTCCAACTATTTCGTCCGGTTCATTTCCTTCAAACTCAATTTGGTTTGGCATCCCAGCAACAAAAATGCTTTTAATTTTATGAAAAAACTTTAAAGCCGGAAAAGCCAAACCAAACTGAACAGAAGCCGTGGCCCTTCTCTTTATCACACACACTCAACCGAGCAAAGAATTAATGAATTATCCACCACTTGCACCAACCAAACACACCCTTTCTTCTTTTTCTCTCTCTATCTCAATGGGTGAGGAATTTATCCTGCACCCATTTTGTTTTTGCTTTAATCTTTCATCTTCGATCAAATCTGCTTTTCTTTCCAAGGGATCCGTTCCACGGCCACCGTTGTGTCGTGTGTGCTGCGTAGGATCCTGTTTGGATTAGCAGCCAAATATTTTTCACATGCTATGATGCTGATGAACATGCTTTCTTTCCACATAAAAAGCAAGCTTCTTTTGTCTAAAATTCCGCTCTCCTTTGTCGACAGAAAAAGCCAGAGTGCATGCATTGCTGGCTTTGTCCTGACATGTAGTTCCCGTATTTTGGCGTGGGTAATCTTGGGATTCCATGGAAAAGATTCAAAATTCGGCCCTTCTTTGCATTTTTTTTAGGGTCATTTGAAAAACATTATAATAATTGGGGTAAAAAAGAATTTGAATTCAAAATTACTGCTTTATTGATAGAGTTTTTTTATTATTAGAATTAATCTTAATAATATATATATAATTTTAAAAAATATTTCATATTCATTAAAATGTTCTTCAGAATATAAATAAGAAAAAATATATAACAAAAAGAAATAAATATGTTTATCTTTACCTTAATTTGTTACTTAAAATAGGTTTTTTTTTTCTCTCTCTTGAGTCCATCTCCTTTCACATCTCCTGTGAAATATACGGCAATAAAGTATTAGGCCAAAATATTAGGTTTTAACTTTAGAGAAAGAATTTGGCTTTTTATTGAGCTTGTTTGGTTGGAGAATAAAAGAGTTCAAAAAGACTTTACAATAAGTTAATTTGTGTCTTATTTTGGCTTTTTAATGTTTTATTATGGAAAAAAGTACACTTTTATATATTTGCCTATTTAAGAAAAAAAATATATTTTTGAAAAACAACTAAATGTTCATCATAAAAGTTGATTTTTTTTTTTTCAAAACAATTAACCAGACATACCCATTTTTATTCACAACAAAATAATTTAAATTCCATATAAGCCAACTAAGCAAATAATATTGCAAATTTCACCTATATAGTATAAGTAACAATAAAATGATAACTGATACATTGAACATTTTATCTCTTATACGACTAATCAATTTCTATTCAGAAGAAGCATGCTTCTTTTTGCATCGATTTACCTTTTCGTTGGCCATTTCGTTTGTCGATTACTATTCTAAATCTTTGTCCACATTTAGGGTAATTTGTTAATGGTAAAAAAAAATTAGCAATTAGAATATGTAATAGTGCTTATGCTATGTGCAGATGCCTATGTATTTTTCGAATCACCCAAACAGAGCCTCCCATTCACCTGCTATTGCTACGTCGTAGCTGAGGTGGAAGTCCATCAGCATGTGTTTAGAAAGTACAAAAATTATGGTGTGTAAAGCAAACATTTTTCACCTAATCCAATGCGCTTTCCTATTTCTGATTCTGTTTACTTACTTTACAAGCTTGCAAAAACTTTATTTCTGTTTTTCAAAAGCAAAGCCTACAAAAATGTCATCTCCTTTCCTTTTCGTTCATAAATGAGAAGCAATTTAACGACTTAGCATTTGTCTCCTTTATATTTAATTTTATGCTGGCTTGTTTGGATTGAGAGATCTGGAGAGAGAACAAAATAAGAAAGATAATTCTTTTCTTTTGAGTTACTTATTTGAATTGAGTTGTACAAGTAAAATGAAGAAAATTCAAGATTTTTTTAAAAATATTTATTTTTAATTCCTCCAAAATTTTAAAAAGAAGACCATTATATTTGATTTAAATCTTTTACAATTATTTAAATAAGACGAGAAATTAAAAAATTTAAGATTTTTTTAAAAATATTTATTTTTAATTCCTCCAAAATTTTAAAAAGAAGACTGTTATATTTGATTTAAATCTTTTACAATTATTTAAATGAGATGAGAAATTAAAACTTTTTCCCTCTTCATGCAGAGAAATCATAATAATGTCTTCTCTTTTTGTCTCCAAAGTTTTCAAACAAATTGTAAGAATCTTAGTCAATAAGTAATTTACGAATGTGAATAAATATAATAAAATATTTATTTATTCATAAAAATAGATTATATTCAATTTTGTGAAAGTGTGCATTTTTAGAAAAGAACAATTATGTAGTTCGAACAGTATTAATTTTAAACTGTAAAATAAATAAAAATATTTGTGACAAAAAAAAAAAAAAAAAAACTTTGTTAATGAACAAGAATTGGATAGGTTAGAACTCGGTAAAAAGATTAATTCTTAGTTTCACCTTGAGCATTTGTGCAGGTGAAATGTGAGGTTATTGGTGGGTTGTTATCCACCGCACTTTGGGATATATATAACTTTGTGATAAGAACAATTATACATTTTGAATAATACTTGATAGGTATAATTTTTGATAAGAATAATCATACATCTCAAATAGAATTAATTTTAAATTATAAAATAAATAAAAATATTCGTGACAAATAAGAAAAAAAAGAAAGAATCTGTGTTAATAACCAAGAATTGGATAGGCTAGAACTCGGTAAAAAAGATTTAAGTCTTAGTTTCACCGTGAGCATTTGTGCAGGTGAAGCAAGAGGTCGTTGGTGCGTTGTTATCCACCGCACTTTGGGATAGGTATAACTTTCCGGCAACAACACATGGGCATTTGATATCTGGCTCAACATTTTTCATTACACGTGGCATATTATTATTATCTTGTATCATAATGTCAAATTAATTAAAAGATAAAATAGTTTAAAATTTCTCTAGAAAAACTCTGGCCTCCGGTTCCCTTCTCTTCCGACCACAACTTGTGCCGCCATCACCTCTGATCTTTCCCCTTCCTATTCCCGCCGGCGATCATCTTCTATCCCGCCTGGCATTATCCACGCCCATAACCGTGAGGCACAACGCTGAAATGCCCCCGTCCTCCGTCGCATTGGCAACCAAGATGGAAACAGCGGAGTTAACCCAAATCAGTTTAGATTTTTTGAATAATGGTTGATGCGGTCGAAACTTCTTCTGCAACAGCCTCACTCTCTTCCAAGTTGTCTACTAACTCTTTCTCCCAATATACAGTTACATCGATACATCTCTGTTGATGGAAGCAAAAGTAGTTTACGTTTTTAGAGCCGAATAGTTACACGACAAAGAACTTACCTTGATTTCCATGTTACCTTCCGTTCATTTCTACCAGAGTAACACGTAACTCTGATATCCGCCCTACCTCTGTTTGTAAATATAAAATTATATTATATAAAATATGCTAGATGTTATTATTAAAAAATTTAAATTTAAATTTAAATTTAATAAATTATTAAAATAATATCTATAAATTATTATAAATAATATTAACATAAATAGTTTTTAATTATATTTTATTTAAATATGAATATAAATTTATAACTTAAGAACCGTGTCAAAGTATTTGGGTGATAGATATTAAAAGAAGGAAAAAAGACAACAAAAGAAATGCTAGCCTTGTAAGAAGATATAGGATAAGCCCAGCGAAAATATTGGGTTAATTTAGAAATCAAAACTAACTTATACAACTATGCTTCTGGAAATTATTATGAGAGAATGTCTACATTCGTCAACCACAGAAATTACATCCCAAACCCATCCAATCAACATAACCGCCCCAGCCGCAATCTCCACCTCCTCCTGCCACCGCCGGCTGCGATTTGGGTCTGGACGCTCTCAAACTCGGATACCCGGCAGGGAATCTGGATCCCACCTGGGTGGTTGTACCCATAAACCTTCTCTGCCTCCTTCAACAAGTCCCCAAAAAGTGGGTGATTGAAGTAGATTACAGGCACCAAGTACCTCTGCGCGTCGTCTTCTCTCTCCCCCACGTAAACTGCCAAGTGCCCCTTGGGTACGGCCACCGGGTGGCCCTTCGTCGGTTCACCATCCGACCGAACGTACCCGGGCTTGGACCTCCGGAAATAGAGTCCTCTACCCCAATTGCGGAGCCTTGACCTGTGTTTGGTTGGCGAGCTCGGTGGGTTTAACCTCTGATAAGTTTTCGGAGATCTTCTTCTTGGAATTGCCCATTTGAAGATCTTCACGACGTTGCGGCCTAGCTTGAAAACCCGGAGATTTCTCATGATTTTGGTGTTTGTTTTGTCAAATTGAGGTCGGGACAGATTTGTACGAGAGCGTTTTGTGCGTAGCTATTTTGTTCTACTGTGAGATTGTCTGTAAGTGGTGTGTTGCGGTGGTGGAAATGGAAGAGATGGAAGTTGGACAGTGAGTGTCTTGTGTCGATGAAGGAAATCCGTCCCCGGTACGCTTTAATGGGGATTGAGATTTCGAAACGTGATGGAATGGAAGGACGTGTCGATACAGAAAGAGAGAGTGACTGTGAGAGAGAAATGTAGTCGGCACGCGGTGCTGAGACGAGACTGGAAGTTTGGATTAGCGGATTGTCAATTGTAGAGAGAGAGAGGGATAGAGAGGGGTCAAACTGAAAGGTAAGTTGATTAGAGAAGCCTAAAATGCTGACTTCGCTGCGCTCCGAGGGCTGCGGGGCCGTACATAAGCTGTTCGTACTTTCTACCGGAGGTTTTTATTTCTTTGGTTAAGACTTTTCCGTGATGAAATAAAATCTGACTTTTTTTTATCACTTAAAATTTTTTTAAAATATGATTTTTTTTATCTTAAATAAAACTTTCTTTCCTTTATTATAAAAATAATTTTTCCATTAAAAAAAATTTTTGTTTTTTCAGAAGCATGCGCATTGGTTCCAATTTCCGGGGTCTCGTTGTTTCGATTTTTTTCCCTCATAAAATGAAAATGGGTTAAGAAATTTTGAAAACCCAAAAGGACAAGGTATCTCAAAGTATTTGTCATGAAAAAAAAATATAATTTTAGGAATTTTAACAGTTTAAAAATCAATTTTTTAAATATATGTTTAGAGTCACACTTTGAGCTTTTAAAGAAGCTCTAAACTTAGAAATTCTGTTTTTCCTAGTCAAGTTCTAGAAAATTGAAAATTCTCTCTTTAGAAATTTAAGCTTTAGAATTTTCTTGCTTGACTATTATGATAAATGAACAAAGATAGGTTGTTATATTTTTATATTATTTTTATTTAAAATATAAAACTAAGAATTTAGTTTAATTGGTGGAGTGTTTATATATTTTAGTGGGCTCAAATGTTCAATTTTTGACATTTTTTTTTTAATCAAATGTTACCCGTTGGCATCAATCTTTAATATATAAAAATAAAAATATAATTTTAATTAATTTACTACAAAGATAGTATGTTTTTTATTTTTATTTTTCTTAGACTAGCAAATGAGAATGCTCTTCGCTAAGGGTAATGAATGAGTTTCCGGAATCCTGATAAGCAATGTTTTGCTAAGTTTTTGAACAATATATTTATGATTATTAAAAATAAGATTATGAAAAATTTCCACTTATTATTTTTCAAAATTTACTATAAAGAGTTATGCAAATAATAAAACAAAAATATATATAAATTTATAAGATAACGTGCCTGTTTGTGAAAATTTATTTCTAACAAATTTTTATTTTTATTACAAGAAATTGAATTTACTGCTTAAAATTTTTATTTTTGAATTAATTTTTTTAAAAATTTTAATTAAAAAAGTCAAAAATTAGAAGTACGCAAACTCTTTTCTCTTATAATTAATGGTATCATTATAAACAATTCAAATTTTTAATAAAATTATAAATATTCCAACTTCTTTATTTACATTTTTTTATTAATTTTAAATTTTAATATTTTTGGGTAACAAATTTAATATTTTTTAAAAATAATAAGTCTAGAAACACACTAAAAGCCCACCTTACAAATTCTATGGGTGTGGTCTTAGTGTTAACATTTCATATATCTCACGAAGGACACCCGTATTCGAATCCATAAAAGTATATTTTTTAAAAAAGATGGTAAAAGTATATGAACAAAATTTATTTTGAGATAATCAAATAAATAATATAATAATTGTACAAACAAATAATAGAATAGAATCTAATTTTTTTCATTTTAGTAATAAAATCTGAATTACTTTATTTAATAAAATTCTTATTCTAAAAAAATTAAAATATGTAACTTAAAACACTTGTCGAATATAATTTTTAAAAATTTTTATTTTTATTCCCACCCAAACTCAAAAATTTGAACGTCCCACACGTTGCTTTAACGTGTTTCGGATCCGTTTCGACCACATGGTTGAGACCGCGAGGATCCGGACCGTCAAATTTACCGGGAATTTAGAAATCCACTACGCCGAAAGATGGTTGTACATCACTCACGTGGCAATGATTGATTGGATGACACAAAATTGGTAATCGGTTTGTCGTAACAGTGGACTTGGACCACAAAACATGGGAGCCTCTTTACGGTATGCGGATTCCCAATCAACCATACACGTGTTCCTCGATATGTACACGTTTTTCCTTTGTTGGCTTTGTTTGGTCAAGTCAAAGCCCTTTTTTTTGCTTTTATTTTTATTTTTTAAAACAAATCCTGCACTTTGAAAATTAGAAAATTCTCAAAAAAGCGCCATTCTTTGCATTAATTACATAATAAAATTATAAGAAATTTTTTTTATTACAATTTAAGAAAGTCCCAATAATTGAATGAAAGATGTTCAAGCCTCAATATCGAGATTTGCAATCGTTGATTTTTTGATAATTTATTTTTCAATTTTTTTATGAAAAACATATTAATATGAATGGTCATATTAATTTTTAAGATTATTCAAACTGAATTGAATAACTTTAACCTTTTAGTAGTTTTAATATAATATTTCTAATTTTTGGGATTAATTAAAATATTTAAGAGTTTGAAGGTCTAATTAAAAAAAACAAAAAGTTAGAGGGTCTAATTGGAAATTAGAGGACTCAATTGAACAAATCCAACTTCTGGGCCCAAATAGAAATAATATGAGTTGATAGGGACTAAATTGTAATTGACTAAGAATCTGAGAACCAAATTAAAAATATTAGAAAATTTGATTTTGAGTTTATCTTTAAACTTTCAGATTTATGCTATAAGAATTATCAAATTCCATCAAATTGGAAGCTATTATCTCAAAAATTTTGATATATAATGTGCAATTGGAGGTATAAATGAGAAGCCCTCAATCAATTTTTGAAAATTGGCACTCTAATCTTGTTGATTTTATTGTTATTATTTTGTCATTAGTCTACCATTACCGAAACTTTCAAGTTTAATTTTAGCAAAACTAAGCTATTTAAAAGCCAAATTCTAGAAACTTTTGTGGTCTCCTGTCCATTCTAAATTTGATATACAAGAAATCTCAAAGAAATTTTAGATAAATCACTTGAAATTTGGGTTAGAATGATCAGGAATGGGTTGCAGAGAACTGGGCTTGGAAGATAGACCCGATGTCACGCCCCGATCCCGGGCCCGTGACAGGCATTAGGGCCCACCGACTCTAGTCAGCCTCAAAACACTCTCACATGATTTAAACCATCATATCATATGAGGATAATGGAGTACGTCATACAAAATCAATCCTTAAATACAAACCAAAATCTTGTCTGAGAATAACAAAGGAGCAATCTAAAGTACAAAACAGTAACATAATGAAATGTGCCCGAACGTCAATCGAAATCCGAAGCTCAAGTCAAATCTCCACTAACTGAAACACGATCAGCCAACCTGATCTGGAATGATAATAAAAGCATGACTCGCGAAACTTAGTGCGTACAGATGATACCTATCTATGCATATTGGGATATGTATCACGCCACAAGTACAAAATCATACATACACATATATATATAGTGAGTAGTAATCAAAACACATATGTGAGATATTAATGTAATCAATCATCACATCGCATCAATCACTGGGCCAATGTACTCCTCGCACGCTACGGTAGCACACCGTCCGCTGGCTGAGCCTTTAGCCACACAACTCATCTCATCGCTAGGCCAAGGTACTCCCTATACGCTACGGTCCACCGTCCGTCGGCTGAGCTTGCCATCCCAATACAACATGACAGTGTGTAACATGTCTGCGGCCTCTCCCACCTACGGTCCCTATCACCTCATCTCAAACCCAGGGCCCTCGCACTGGACGCCACAGCATCGCTATCCTCCAGCCGAGCCACTTGACGTCCCCAAAACACATCTCACAATACCAACCTCATGTATAAGTCAAAAACAGGTATACATACTCATATACAGTTTACATCTCAAAAGTCAGTATCACAAACCAACATATCTCACTAACAGTTCATAAAACACATAACACATATCCCGAGTATAATATAGTCAAAATACAGTTTCAAAACCACATAATCATCATGTCAGAAAACCATAGTTTGAAAACACAGGCATAGAGAGGGTATCATCACTCACTGTACAGCAACCAAGCCAATAGAGAAGTCCCGAGTCACCTCCACCCGACTCACCAGTCAGGATATACCCCATCAACCGTATCTATAATCAAAACTACACAAAATTATCACCAATACCAAAATCAATACAAGAAACGGGCTTAATAGCCCGAAACCGCTTAAATCCTATCCCGGGACCCTTGGCACGCATTTTAAGGCACCAAAACCTATCACGGGACCCACACGACTCACTAATACCATCGATTCTTACTTAACAACCCTTAACAATAGTGAACCAACCCTTAAAATCCCGAACCATAATGAACCGATTGCCAAAACCTTTGAACCAGCCTAAACTAGCCTAAAACTATCTCATCCCAAACTCGTTTAGCCACGAAACTCTCAAAATCAAATTCAGAAGGCCCAAAAACTCTATGAACCAAATGAACCGGTCAAAAATGGGCCAAAATAAAGCTGAACCAGTTAATTTATCATTAATTTACCTTAAACCGGCCGGTTCAATCAAAAGTACTAAATTTCTGGTCGAATCGGACCTCCCTGAACCCCCAAACCAACTCGGTTCAATAGGTCTTTTCTCCCTGATTCCAGAACTGGCTCAACTTCCCAATTCCGAGGTCATTTGACCACTGAACCGCCGGTCAAACTCACTGGCCGGTTCAGTCAACTATTCTTCTTTTTTTTTTTTAGCCACGGCTCGGCTTGGCTCACTCAGCCGGCGCCCGCCGGCTTGGCTTGGCTCAACCGGCTCAGGC